GGGTGGATGATGGTGAGTGAATCTGCCTGCTGTGAGGCAGTCTAATCTCTAGCTGTCCCTCTTCCTTGCCAAGTCTTCTCAGAGCTATAGCTTTCCTGACACTTGTGCCTGTGGTTAGTCAAGATGCACTTTAATACGCTTTTAACACTAGGTGACCACCTGCACCCTGTGGGCACCACTCTCCTCGAGGTTGTGCCACACAGCAGGCGGGTGAAAACTGTGCTCTGAGGGCACCCACAGTGGCCGTGCCAGCTGCGGCTGCCCCAGTGCTAGGGCCTCGGGGTCCTGGCAGGCCTCACCTAAAAATTCTTCCGTCTCAGAGCCACGTCTTAGTCTAAATTGCTTTGAAATATTCACTTTTAAAGGTGGAGAATCGTGTAGTGAAATGAAGGCCTGATCCATGGAACTGCCATTAGTCATTAATACTTTAGCCTAAAAGAGCATCACCAGATTGCCACCACTGCCTGCCCTCTCACTTAGGCTGGGCCAGCCCCTGACCAGGGACCTGCCGGGTGCGTTTGAAGGGGCAGAGGGGACGGGCCTGCCGAGCACTGAAGGAGAGGTGAGCGGCGCTGGCACCTTTGCCTAGACAGCCACTGCCCTTCCAGGAGGCACCAGGAGTGCCCCTCCCTGGGGGTCCCGGGCCACTCCGACCCGCCTGTGCCTTATGGTGAGAGGAGTGTCCCAGGATCCTGGGCTGCTAACTCTCCAGACCTCGTCCGTTCCTCTCCGTCTGCGGGGCCTTGCCTGCCCCCGACCTTTCACCAGCCCTGGTGGTACCTCCCATCCCCCTGCGGGACCCACCCTCCTGCTGCCATCAGCCCAGTGCCCCCGTCCAATGGGGAACTGAAACCGGAGTCCTGCCTGCTCGGGGCTGGCCCAGGAGGGGCAGTCGGCCTCCCTGTCCCAGCTTTACTCCCCCTGAACTTCAGGTGCCTTCACGCTTAAGCTCTCAGAGTGACCGTTCAGGTCAGGGGCCTTTCCTTCAAATGGTGCCCAGCAGCCCCGTGCCGAAAGGACCGGCTCCTTGGTGCTTTCCTGTGCCCGAGGCCCCGACATCCGGTCTGGCCTTTCAGACAGGGCGTGGTGTGACGTTACAGGAGGTTATTTAAAGTGGGGGTCCCAGCATAATTCACTCTTTGCACAGTGCCTTACCCGTGGGGATCATCAGTGTCGGGGTCCCAGCTCTGCCTGCGAGGCAGCCCCGTGTTTCATCCGGAGACCCCGACACCTGCATGATGACTTGTGCTACCCCGGGGGTTTCTCTGTGTGACTCATGGGCATGGAGGCTCCCAGGAAGAGTCTCATGATGACAGTAAAGTTTAGCACTGAGTTAAATTTATTCTTAGGTTCGTCAGCCCGACCTTTTCCTGTGTAAAGGTTTTGGGCGTGATACAGCCCTTTGCTTAGGTGGTGTCACGGACAACCGCGGACGGGCGGGGGTCGCTCTGACCTTCGGCGGGTAGGTCTGTGCTCACGGACGCCTTTCAAACACGCGAGGCGAGACCTCGGCCTCTGTCGCGGCTGCTCACTGAGTATTGTTACAAGAAAGAGGCGGCTGTAACGAGCAGTGAAACAGCACAGAGCTGGGGTCTCTCTGTTTGCATTTTTTCTCTCTGTACAGCTGTGGTTTTTAGGATGTGAAGTGTTAGGAGAAAGATTTCTTGATGGTGTCAAGCTGAACATAACCCCCCTTGTCCTGTTCCGTTTCTCCCGAGTCTACTGTATGTTCCCTGAGCTGAGCTGTGTGTCGTGTACCCCTGTCCATTTGCATATTTCGAGACATTTCCAGTCCTGACTCCTGTCGGCTCTTCTGATTTATGCACAGATGGTTCCGAGCCCGTTTTCATTGCCCGGGATGGAACCATCACAGCAACTGATCAGACTTCCCGCCAGAGTCCTGACTCCCAGGTCCCTCGTTAAACAATATTTAAAGATTGGAATTTGTATAAAGTAGCTTCCAAGTTTTATAATGCATCATTTTACATCTTTCGTAATTAAAAGCACAATGAGATTGTATCTGCACTTGGTGTTTTTCTTCAGCCTCGGATGCGATGATGGGGAAAGCCCTTCTCTCTCGCCGCCCTGTGCGCGGCTCAGCCTGCGGTTGGGTCCGTGGCCTGGCAGGTCCCGCACTGACCTGCTTGTCATGCGTCCACTCCAGAGAGCAGCTCAGAAAGCAGTAGGGCACGTGGTCCTTTGAAGCTGCAGGTACCAAGGACAGAGGACCCCTGGCAGTGCCTCCGCGTCCCGGTTCCCTCTGCCGGCACCACTTCCAGACCTGCTCCTGCCCTCGCCCGAACCCCTCCCCTGTGGAGGTTCCGGCCACGATGCTCCTTCCTCCAGTGCTCCGGGTTGCAGACTGGCCTTCGGCCCTGACCCCCACCTCCCCAAGGACTGTGGCTTCATTTTCTACCCCCCACACTATCCACTGAGTCCACTAACACAGTCTTCTCCTGACGCCAAGGGTCTGGGGGGGTCTCCCTTGGTGTCAATTATGTCCTTTCTAAGAAAGCACGCACAGGTCTTCAGAAGTACTAAATTGGTATAATACTTGCTTTGAAATATTAAACCTTAGTAGGGGAAGAAATGTTTGAAGTAGATCTTATTAAGGTCCTGTTCGCCTAATGAGTGCTGTACCTTTTGCAAATATGGAATTTAAGGTTTTTGCAATAAGTCAGTTACACGGGGTAGGTGTGCAGCTCTGAGTGTGCAAAACAGTTTATTCTCGTCTTGTGATTGATTTATCATTGTACCATTTTCCATACAAGCAACCAGAGGCCTACACTTGCCCACCCTGTATGTGACTATGTCCTGATGCGGACACTAGATGGAGCTGAGACCATAAGAGTGGTTGTCAGGGCTGCGGAACAACCCGGACATACACCCACCAGACCCTCTCGGATCCGGCCTTGACCTGGGCTGGCGCTGATTAGAATCGCAGCCGGTGGCGGCACCGTGTAAATGAGCCTCTCTCGGTGGCCGCGCCACTGTGCACGGGGAGACACGGACGTTGCACACCTCCCCCCCCTTGCAGCCTGAGAGGCGGGCGAGGCGAGGAGGACTTGAGGGTTCAGTGGATGAAGCAGCAGCCCCGGGCGCCCAGCCCCTGGGCTGAACCTGGAGCACGGGCCCTGGTGCTTAGGACCCTCACGCCTGCCCAGATCTGTCTCCGGACCACCAGCGGGCTGCAGCGCACCCCTCCCCGAGGGCGGGGACTGTCCCTGGGAGGAAGATGCTGGAGTGAGACATGCCAGCCAAGGAGCAAAGAAATTTCTCTTCCAGGAAAAAGAAAAATTAAGAGAACGCTTTGCTTTTATAACAGCAGGGCCTGCCCGTGATGAGAAATCCACACTGAAAAGCACGAACTCACCGGAGATCACTGCTCCCGCCTGCAGAGAAAAGAGCAGGTGGAGGGAAATTCTCACCAAAAAAAGTGCCCACAAATACGTGCTCTTTTTGGAAAAAGCGTTTAACAGGACAAAAAAGGGAGCCTAAGTGTATCCAGAAATTTGCTAGACTGCAAATAAATGTGCTTCTTAATCATTTCTCTAGAAGGAAAGACAGATATCAAGAGGCGGGGCTCGTTCTGCAAACCCCCTTGAGCCGCGGGTGGCATCTCCTGACAGCCCGCGATTTAGGGGGAGGAAATGAGCTCACCCACTTCCTACCTCCTGCCCCACTCCCGGCGCTGCGAGTTCTTATTTTCACATGGTCAAGGTTTGTCCTGTTTGCATCCTGTCCTGTAACCATCCTTCCCAGCATTGTCCATTGTGTGCGGGGAGCCCCTGCCCCGCTGCCAGTCCTTCGGGCGTGGGCTTCCCAGTCGCCCATTCCCAAGCTCTTTATTTCGGTCGACCTCTTGGCCTCCTTGGCCTTGTCCAGGAGTCTATCCAAGAAGGGCCGCGTGACCACGGCTGCAGGGGTGCAGCTCCCTGGTTTCTGCAGGGGCTTCCTTTCCCTCCACCAAGCCCTGCACCCTGGGGTGGGGGCCGGTTTTATGATCCCGGACAGAGCCATGCAACCTGGAGGCTACCTGGGCCCTCCCCGCCCAGAAGCCAGGATGGCACAGACCCCGCCCCCTGCGACGCTGGCTTGATCCACTTGGCCAATGCTCTTTCCCAGGAATTTGAAACTCAAATGGGAGACGCACAGAGTCTGGGGGTTGTTGGAATTGTGCCACGTTAGTGGCAGTAGCCTGGAGAGGTTCCGGGCAAGGCCCCCGAGTGGCCACTGTTCTGCCATCAGGAGCCTGGCTGTTGAGCAGCTACTCTTGAGTCCATGTGCTGCCCACTAATTTCCCTGTAAGTCCCCCTGGAGCCAAGACCTTCTTCAGGAGCCTCCAAGGTCTGAACTTCCCGGGAGCAGCCTGGGAGCCGCAGCAGCTCTGTCTCAGCCCCGGCCTCGGGGGCTGGCCTGCCACCTGGGTCCTGTCTCTGTCACCCTGCCTTCTCTGTCTCTTTCAGATCCGGCGATGGCCGTGGTAGCCAATGAACATGTCACTTTTTTTTTTTTAGGTTTTTTAAAAATATATTTTTTTGATTTCCGAGAGAGGGAAAGAGAAACCTCAATGATGAGAGTCATTGACCAGCTGCCTCCTGCTCGCCCCCTGCTGGGGATCGAGGAGCCTGCACCCCGGGCCTGTGCCCTGACCGGGAATCGAACCGCGATCTCCTGGATCCTAGGCCGATGCTCAATCACTGAGCCACGCCAGCCAGGCTCATATCAGTTTTTGCCCCAGGTTTGTTCTGAAGGTAGATGTCC